TCATATCTGTTATTAACCTCTGTCTCTCTTCCACAGCATGTCTTTTATCCTGTCTTCCTTCTCTCACCCCAACCGGTCGCAGCAGATGGCTGCCCCTCCCTGAGCCTGGTTCTGCCGGAGGTTTCTTCCTGTTAAAAGGGAGTTTTTCCTTCCCACTGTCGCCAAAGTGCTTGCTCATAGGGGGTCATATGATTGTTGGGTTTTTCTCTGTATCTATGAAGCGCCTTGAGGCGACTTTTGTTGTGATTTGGCGCTATATAAATTGAATTGAATTGAATTGAATTGAACTTCACCTACCAACTGCCGGCAACCTCTTGCGAAGCAGATGGAGAATACACGTTTTTGCCTGGAGACTGAAGGTTGCCAGCAGGTTGCTATCCAGTGTCTAGGCCTGTGTGAATGACACCTAAGGACCACCTCTCTCAAGCACTTTGTTACTTTTTTTTAAATTAAAAAAGATGCATTAGAATTAAAATTTCCACTTTAGGCTGCATTGTGTTGAGATTATTGCCTGTCATGGTCTTAAAGTTCCCATATTTGAACAAAAGGGTTCTAGGGACTTTTAACACCATACAGATGAGCGTGGCGAGCTCATGCTCAAAGTGTCCATTGGCATCCACACAACAGTTTAACTTTCCCCTGTGCTTATAAAGGTTTAAGTCAGCTATAGAGAACAAAACCATTTTTAGCATCAGGCAGTTATTTCTGCTTTAGAATTTGCCATTTTCACATAAGAGTCTACCGCTACTGATCGCAACAGTAGTCAGCCTCAATCGGCCACCAGAGGAAATCGAACTATTTACATATTTTCAATTTGTTCGTGTGGATTGCAGCTGGTTTCCACACATATATGCGAGGTACTCATGTATCCCCCCATATTCTTTATTTGTTCTGTGCCTGTATCTGATCTGTACCTGATATATGCAGCGTAACAATGAAACTAGCGTTCCAACATACTAAATGTCTTCTCTTCTCTCAGGAAAACACTGCAGTCTAAGTGAGGAGGGTCATTCCTCAGTGCATCAGGCATCATTTGCGTGCTGAACAGTGTATGAGAAGGAGTGTGATTGCTGCTGTTTTAAAGTAGTAGTCCTCATAGGGCAGAATGGGCTCATCCTGGTTGGCTTAGCATTTAAATTTAGATATTCAGGGTTAAGTGACTCCAGCTCCCCGTTAGTGTGGGAATGCTGTGTGAAATGGAACAGTTTATCCTTTAGAGGAACAAAGCTCAGGGTTACTGCTGAGCTTTAAATTCTGCTTGGTGCAAGACCCGTCCGTAACATAAAGCACTTTAATTTTAAGTGCTGTTAAAAATACGTTTAACCCTAATTTTAACACCAACTCTGACCTTCCACCTGCTCACTGTAGCCTTCAACCAAGTCATGAGTCATGAGTGGCGACAGGACAAAGCTATGCAGCTATGTGAGTATGCCCATAAGGCCCGATCTTCTCATCCCATCCATCCACCGCCTTCTGCAATAAGCAGGCCGCAAATGCTTTGAAACCCTCTCCACCTCGGCGGGATAGAATTTTTTAAATACAGCGCCTTGATTTGGACATGACATATCATCTCATTCTGCTGCAAAGCTGTTGACAGGCACTTAAAACTGTGTAAGTATCTCCGATAAGCCTGAGCCAAAACATAAGGTCAGAGTCTGTGTTTATGCGTGACAGGGGAGCTTGATACAGACGGGGACACCCAGACGGGGCTGTCCAGGATGAATCTGAGCACTAACACATGCAGGAGAGCAGTGTGTGAGAGACACACGCGCGCACACAATGCCTGCCAACTTGCAGATGAGCGCTAATGACTGAGGATTTGCCTTGGCTGAGATAAGAAAGGATCATACGGAAAGCAGATGGGCAAAACAGAAAGGAAAGCGAGGGGAGACGCCGAGGGACAGTGAGAGAGAAAACAAAGAAATGAAGACGAGCGTGAGATTAAAGTGGAAACGAAAAGTTGAGGTGAAAACTAAGAGGAGAATTATGTCTGTGTTAAGAACCCAGAAGATTTGAATGAATAAAACTCACAACTGAACTGAGGAATAAAGGCACAGACGAGGTGAGAAAAATAGAAAAAGACCGGGGAATACACAGCGATAAAGCCATGTGAGTGACTGCATGTTTGTTGGAAAACACTAAAATAGAGCAACATAATTTTATTGTGTGAAATAGATAGTGGTGGTTGTGTTTATTGGGTATTTTCAACCTATATTTAGTGCTTTAAACAGATTTAAAATGACCTTAATGTGACTTAAACTTGAGCCTGGCTCTGTCAGAGGTTTCTTCCTGTTAAAAATGAGTTTTTCCTCCCTAATGTTGCCAAGTTC